TAAAATACACAAAAAAAGCCATGGACTCACTGACAATTGTGGTGCCCACCCATCTTGATGATTGTTCTCCCCTACAGCTACCAGGCTACAATCATCCCAGTTCTTGCCTAGTCTCCATCATTTCTATCTTCCTACCTCATTGCTAGTCTTTGGAAGAGTAAAACCTTTTATGCTCTTTTATGGGCTGCCTGCTGTGCAGCAGGGATCCAGTTCAAACACTCTAAAAAATGAACCCAATAGATTTTAAAATTGTTGATGTGAGACTCCTTTACTGGCCACTCTCAGGTCAGGCTATGACAGCTGCTGATCAGCAGCTGTAGTGAAAAGCAATTCTGGGTGTGCTATCAGAGCAGCGCTCAGAGTCCTACAGCTGGGGATTCATCCTTCCTCCCCCTCTTTTATCCTTTGTTCCCTGCCCAGCTATGAGGCTGGTGTGTATCTAGACAGCTCAGCAGTTGAGCTGCTGGTGGTGAATGTTACAGAGCAGTTTACATGCCTTGTGTCATAAGCCCTGTAAATGCCTAGTAAAATGTGGTATTTAATGGAAACATATCGGCTCATTTTAAAGCTTCTTTACCTGATGCTGAGCAAACTGTTGCTGCACTGCCTTTTTAATCAGTTACCACCAAATGTGTGTGTGTGTGTGTGTGAGAAGGGTTTTAAACATTTCTCTGTCCACTTCCAGGCAGCTAACCAACAAGCCTGCAATCCTGTTATTATGCCTTCGAAACAGAGTCCATTCGCTGTTATCTACAGCACACGTTATCGTAGGGTATTCTGCAGAGCCAGGCTTATAGAACATATCCCTAATGTTTCTCGTACACTAGGTACATACCAGTTAGACACAGACCTACCAGGCACACACCTCTGAAGGAATGTATAACAGGACATTCAGGAAGTTACACCTGATGCAGTGCTTTGTTTGCAGGATGAAAATACAAGAAACATTCCGGCAGTAACCATTACTGATATAATGCTAATTGAGGCCTGAGACATTCATGCAACCATGTTAACTCTATGTTAGAAGACACCAGAAATTCAACACCTGCAGGATGCTGTTATCCCACCATATATGTCCCAAACATACACGCCCTGCACAGACTGATGGAAGATCCTTCACTCCTGGATTTCATTTAAATAGTGTGGCCTCAGGGGCAAATTTGTTTTTATAGAACATACCAGGTGTAATCCTCTAAATTCTGAATCTTTGAGGTATTTCCTTTAGGAGAATACTTTCAGTCATACTAACTGGAGTAATTTGGAACAGATTTCCACTTTTAATGATACCTTCCCTTCCTTTTTTTTTATTTTTTTTCTTTTTTTATTGAAAAAAGTTACTGTCCACACTAACAATGTCAGAATTCAAATAACACTTATCAGACTGAAAGTCTGTCTCCCATTTTCATGCATGCAAGGTATCCATTTATCTCAATAATTACAAAGTATGTTTCAGTCACACAAGTCTGAACAAAATGCATAATCTTACCCAATGTAGAAATATATCTATTACAGGCTCATGTAGAGGTCTGTATAGATCATAGAGTTAGCATGTAAACCCTGAGGAACATGAAGAAATTTAAAAAAAAAAAGAAAATCCCAACAAACCTAATCCACTTATATAATGTCATGAAAGGGGGTAGTACCATGATCTTATTTGCCACGAATGCTGTAAGGGAAAGAAGCTGACAGGTAGAATTACATGCCACCAGTGCAAACAGAAGACTCTTCAGAGTTTGTTCAGTTTTCTCACCTGTCAACAGGAACAACATTAGGCTCAAGTAATATTTTTGTAGAATCTGGAGATCCTAATTTGTTTTGGTCTCTACATGGAGCTAGTATGGCTAGTGGCTGAATGTGGGGTGTGATCTGCTTTGTAGTCTCTGTTCAAGGCCATGGGTTCCCTGAATTTGGGGCTGAATCTCAGTCTGCACTTCTTAATCCGACAGTAGAAGCTTTGAAAAATTCTAGCCTCCCTGATCCTGTTTCCATTAGAAAGAAAACAAAACAAAACACCCCACAACCTAATAACATCACAGTGGGATGAACAAAGTCCTAAGAAATACATCTCTGAATGCAGATTTCCTGAACAAGTCTTATCATTTTCATACTTTTCAGTTGAAGGTTGAAAGGGTGGAATGGACCAACTGTATGGATAGTCATCACTGTAAGCCCCAGATCCCTGGGTGCCTGAGAAACTACCTTCTGTGGCGTACAACCCCTGGACGGATATCAGAAAGAGGGATGATGTGAAAGCATTAAATGTTAGTTTCCCTTATGGACCACTTCCAGATAACTTCCAGTGACAGATTCGTCAGAGCTATTATGCAGCAGTTTCTTACCTGGATATGCAAGTTGGCCTGTTCTTGAATGCTTTGGATGATGTAGGACTCTCAAATAGCACAATAGTAGTTTTTACTGCTGATCATGGATGGTCCCTGGGAGAACATAGTGAATGGGCAAAATACAGCAATTTTGATGTTGCTACCCGTGTGCCGCTGCTCAGGGACTGGCTGGGCATCGGTCGGTGGGTGGTGAACAATTGCACTGTGCATCACTTGCTTTGTGTATTATTATTATTATTATTATTACATTATTATTATTATTATTATTATTTTATTTCAATTATTAAACTGTTTTTATCTCAACCCACAAGTTTTTCTCACTTCTACTCTTCCAATTCTCTCCCCCATCCCACCGGGGCGGGGAGGGGAGTGAGCGAGCAGCTGTGTGGTGCTCAGTTGCCAACTGAGGTTAAACCACGACAGCCCTATCAGTTCACCGTTTTGGGGCTCACTGTATTTTCTTCATGTATTTGCTTGACTTGCTGCCTGCATGTAGCTAGATAGTTAATAGAAGCACGCCTGTCCTTGGAGGCCAATATGAACTGACTGGCTGTGTCTTTGGTTCAGGTCCATTAAAAAATCTGAGCATTAATTAATCACTGACTTGCGAACAGCTTGGAAGAGCTGTTCAGGCTAAACTGGAACGTTCTGCAATTGTTTTACTTTTGGTCACAGGCACTTCGGCAATATGAAACTTCTCCCCTGCCAGGATAGGATGTGCATAAATCCAGCTATTCCTGTGTTAGAGCAGACCAGCCTAGAGACTGCTTCAAGCAGCTCCATTTCTTACTCTAACTAGGAAACTGCACACATGAGGAAGAGCTGTCATAAGCAGCACTCTTGATAGAATCCCTCCATTGAAAAGGAAATAATAAAACCTACCAGGGCAAAATGCCAGTGGAGCATACTACACGGGCAAAGAGCCTTCCCTGCTTGCTGTCTGCCAGGCCAGTCAAAACCAGCTTCTCCTCCTTTTTCACTCAGCAAGGTGAAACTGTAACTGTAGAAATCAAGCTGCTGCTTGAGCTTTCCATACATCACCACCAAGAAGGATCTCTGTGATCTGGGGCCTGTTTTCTGTGCTCCAGCTGCTGATGGTCACAATGAATGAACTGAGAATGATGCAGCTTTGTCTGCAGAAGGCAAGCCAAGCAAATAGAGATGTTAGACCCCACACCTGAAAGCTCTGTAATGTGAAGCACAAAACAAAAATCTTTATGGAAAAGGAAACTAAGCTGGCATGACCTACAAGTCATCAAGAAAAACATATTCAAGGGAATCATTATCTCATTTGTATAGGGACTCTTCCCACCCCTCACTGCAAAAACTGTTCTTGATAAATAAGGAAGATAAATAAGCAGTTGTCAGTACAATGAGTACTAAGTGAGGAGGAAAATTAAAGGTGAAACTAAGGCACACGTTCTTAAAACACCAAAATACCAACATAAGAAAATAAATACCTAAACCTAACAGTAATGACAATTTTTTCCTCAGTGGCAAGATGTAGTACATATGTGTATGTTGCAAGAAGCTGTTACTTGGAAATAGTTAACCTTACTAGGCAAAAGAGAGCTTGTATTCCAAATGCTCAAGTCTGATAAGTCACCTTAATATATTCATCTCCCTCCTTCCCCCAAAGTTCACTTTCAGTGGAGAAGCCAAACCAGAAAACCCCAAATGATTAAGAATTACTTTCCCTGCTCCCTGTTTCTCGCTCTTATTCCCACACAGTGTGCACATATGCATGGATGGTGAAGAATTATGGCTCATATGAAAATTTCCCCCTCACTACCCTAAAGCTGTAAACCTTCCCCAACTTCCAAAATGCAGTGGAGAGTTAAATAGGCAATCACAGCTAATCTTTCTCCCTCTGCAGTGTTTCTAAACCTGTGGAAATTTCAAAAGCTACCAAGATAGAATGACAAAATGAAACAACACACCCAAGCTTGAAGTATGGGCACTGGTTATTTGATTGAGCATGGTGACAAAAAGTAAAAGAAAAACAAAAACAGATCACAAGACCAGTCAGAACAATTCTACAAATTGTTGATACAGTGAGATAGCCAGATGGATGCATGTTTTTTGAGGAATGAGACATTGCTTCTATTTGAGCACTCAAAAATGTGAACAACTTTGTCAGTTTTGTTTGCAGAACTCACTTTCCATTTTTTTGTCAACTAGCATTAAAGACCTGGCCCTGAGGCAGCTGCAGAACCTAATGGATCCTTTAGAGCCTTTTGGCTGCAGTTCAAAGGCAGAGGAGATACTGTAACTCAGTACCAAAGATGCACTTTCAACTTGCTATTAAAACAATAATACAAACACAGGGATAATGAGAAAATAAGGAGAGAAACAAGGAAAGAAATGGAAGACTGTGGAAAGGAATGGATCAGAGGCTCTCCAGGAATAGTTTCTATAATATGTGTGCGAGACAATATCCTACAAGAGGGAAATGGCTTATTTGATCTAATATGCCTTTCTCTTCTTGAATTTCCACAGTATGGAGAATCAATATGAGGGAAATTAAAGCATCAGGAGCAGACTCACATTTCCACCTGTGTGTTCCTATCTCAGCAAACTCTTATTGAGATAGAAGTATTTACCTTAAGTGCCCAGTTCACGTGTGCTGCAACAGGAGGAAGGATTTCAAAAGGATACATGCTTCTTCTGTGTAGGGGACAGCAGACGTAGGTCCACCCAATATGTAGCTGTAGAATGAGACTTCCAGAGTGTAGCAGTAGGATGTATCATTTAACAGCCCACCAAGAAAACGCCGGCCTGTCCCTGCTTTCACAGCATCTCTGTTGAACGATGTACTGGACTGCAGGAGGAAGAACACAAAGACATGAAGAGAGTTCATGAGGGGAACAAGGGAAGGGTTGGGAAGGACTCTGTTAAAACAGAAGACAGTTAAGTTCACATCACCAAATCTCATTTACACTATATGAGACTGCGCTATTTTTTGAGCATGGCCTGGAGAGACCATGAATGGAAACACAGTTCTGGCACACAGGCTATAAATAATGCCTTGCAGACTTTCACAAAATTCATCTCCGTTCACTAGTAACATCAGCTTTTCTCCTTCCCTTTTGGATAACACAAAGAAAGCCTGTCAATATGCGTGAGTTGAAAGTGAACATTCCAGAGCCTCAGTTCTCAAAAGTTAAGCTGGACTATTATTTGGATATTGGGTTCCTTCTCTCTATTGCATTCCCCTGTATCATAACCATTCTCCCCCACCCCTTACCCTGGACTCTTTTAAGCAAAGTAGAAATACAGTGGCATTTACGTTTTAGTGAAACTTTCTCACTTAAGACATTTGACTGGTTCTTATATTAGGTCACACAAATTTCCACTTCACTAACTTAAATGTTAACTGGGTGTTGCTCTCTGGGTGGAAGAATATACTGCACTATTTTACAGCATTAGCAGCACAGTATAAAAGGCAGTATTTTGTGCTATTGCTGAAGATCTGGCTTTAAGAACCCTATAGCTTTATGACTATTCATTTGATGGGTGGAGGGGAGGGATCCAAGTATTTCCATAAATGATTTTTAGCTCTCCTTTGAAGGCATGACATCTGGAGACTAAAGGGGAGCTCATCTTGAGGTTGATTGAAGTCTCAGAGCTTGTTCCCACCAACTAGACAGAAAAATGGATTCTGATTTCATTTTGGTTATCAGACTCTATTCACAAACCTCATAACCATTAGACTGAGTCAATCTGGGCTCAGCACAAGAAAAAAAAAGCGCTTAGCAGATCCAACTTGGATCTGTTGCATAAAAGGCCTTAATATCTCCTGCTTTAAGACTTTTACGTTGCCAGTGAAGCATAAAGGACCCTTAAGATAGCTTACTGTTCAGTCATTGTGCCCATGGTGAATTCTTTGAGCTATCCAGGGTCCTCCTATTGAACCTTAAGACTAGTATCTTTTCTTGCTAACACAATGTTAGTATTTATCAACTCCATCTCTTATCAAAAACAGGGAAAATAAGATTTCTTTCTTATTGAAAAAAAATTAGATGCAATGGTTCAAACTGTTAAACTTCTCTAGACCAAGAAAATCAGACTAATACTGAAATGAGCAACAATTCTTGATGAATAGTGTATACCAGAAGATATAAAGAATGGAAATACCTGTGGGTTTATTGACATTCTGAATGTTTTGAAGTCTCTCTCACAGAAAAAGAAAGGCTTTCCAGGTTAATTAGAATAAGATGGAATTGGGTTTCTTATTAGCATTATATATAGGAGTTTCCAAATGCAACTTGTTGTCTTTGTGGTAACATAATATTTAGCTGTGTGGTAAATTGTACACAGAATGTATTCTGCTATGTACATATCATATAATTTCCTCCAAATTACATGGCAGAAACCGTGAGGATATTCTGAATACCCATGGGACAGGGAGGTAAAGCCCTCATAAGGACTGATGGGGAAATGAATTGTTAATTTGATATCTGGAATAAAATACTTAAGGAGGTCTACAAAAGGGAATGTTCTTTGACTTCCTGCAAAAGAAGCCTTCAAAAGACTACTGAGACCCTGAAACTGAGGGAAGCTTTGTCTTCAGTTAAAATTCAGAAACATAAAGGAAGATGATCATGCTTTGGGGATTGCTTCATAAGTCAAGTAAACGTTGATTTCAATGGATAGTGCTTCGTGTTCAAATGAATGCTTGTGGTGGAACTTTTAACGCATGAAAGCATCAGCTGGTGAATATGGGTGTATGGAGCCAGCTCAAAGGAAGAAGACAACAAACGTGTCAGAACATAGTATTGTGGTTTGTGAGCAGAAGCATCACTCACAAGGGGAATGAGCTAACTCTATGGTTGTATTTGGCACAGTGAAAACAAGGAAAATGTCGGAGAAGTGATTCAGGGCAGACATTAGGGACAGAAGTACTCCAGTGATTAGGAGACTCAGTTACTGATATGGAGTATCTATGAAGATTATGGAATCTCATCAACTATGTTTAAGAACAAATTGGACAAGTATCTGCTGAGTATAGTTCACACCTTTGGGATACAGTTTGGACTCGAGGTCCTTTTTGGCTCTATTTCCCATTATTTCAGTCAGGCTAGAGGAAGGTTATGAGTCAAATTCCTCATAGATGATTCTTGAGATAAATCTTACATAATATTTTCATCACAGTTCTTGGCACAGTAAAGGAGGACCATGCCAACAAAATTTGCTGATGACACACTGTGGTATGAATCATCATTATGAAAAAGACTCTGAATATCATACAAAAAAAAAGCAGTGGGATGACTTCGAGGACCAGAGTGATAGTAGCAGATGAAACTCAGCTGCACAAGTGCCAGGTCATGTACTCAGGGCCTAATAAAAAACAATCTCTGCTATAAGCTGAAACCTCATCAGCTGGAAATAGATGAAGAGAGAGTCTGATGTATTACTTCACTGAAGTGATTTTTGCTTTCTGGCAGAAAATAGCTCAGAAGTTGGATCTAGTTATTGGCAAAATTATACTTGCCATATTTCAGAAGTAAGGCATAAGTAGTTTAAATAATTCAAAGAAGGTTTTATAAATGGCCAAAAAAAGAAAACAAAATTAGGATCTTTCTAGAGTTTGAATTTTTATAATTCTCTTTTGTGGGGTTTGGGTTTTTTGGGGGTTTTGGGGTGGTTTTTTCTTTTTTTTTTTTTTTTAATAGAAGAGTTCCAGTTTCAGCTGTGCAAAATTACTTGAAATGGCAATGGCATTAATAAAATCACCTGTTCATTTCTTTGCCAAGTAGTGTGGCACTTCCAGGAATAAAAAAAGCTGAACCTTAATTTAAGTGCATAAATGTAGATTTTGGAGGCTTTGTCCTCATTTTGAAAAAATCTGATGGCATAGACCAACTTGATGTCTTGAGTAAAAAGTAAAATCTCTAATTTGACTCAAGAAGGTTGAAGTAGAGAAAACATAACATAAACCTTTCAAATATGAACACATGCAGGTTTTGAAACAGCAGCTTGGGCTTCGCTCTAGACTAAATGTTATAAGCCAGAATGTGATTTGATGTTTTAGACGAAAAGAAGAAAATTACAGATTCAAGAAAATTCAACTAATGACAAGAAAGGACAGCAGGTACTTGCCTGAGTCCAACCTTCTACTCACTGTTTCAAGTCAAGATAAATGGAGTGGAGAAATAAACAGGCAAAACTTTGACTCCTCACCAGAACTGATCTTTGCAACTGATAATGCTGAAACAAAGGCTATGAAAAGCCATGTATTATCATGGCAAAGAAAGAGCCTTTTGCATGCACATTTATTTAATCAAACTCTGATCTGGGGAAAAGAGGAGGGGAGGCGAGAGGGGGGAAAGAACACAGGTAAGGTTGTCCGCAAATGAGTCTCTTGTTTTTCTGGGAGAATCTATTGCCCTAAAACCCTTGCAAAGCTGAACAGAAGTCATCGTTAAGCAAATGCACTGAGCAGGCACAGCAGGAGAACAGGTAAACAAATATTTGTTTCTCCAAGGCTGAATTGCATGGGAGTGTCAACAACAGCAGCAGCAGCAAGAAGTACAGACTCTGGGGGGTGGGGGGAAGCACCAAAGACTTTGAAGTTTTAAAATAGGGATATTTGTATAAAATCAACAGTAATTTGTTATTAAAACACACAGATACATTAAAGCTCACAGAAGGACTCTGCTTCCCAGCTTGTGTGAGAAAATTCCGTGAACAAATAGCTATCTACAGGATTAGGAAGTGCCAAGCAACAAAAATCCAGTGTTAAAAGAGCAGAGCAGGAAGGGTGAAGGATTCCCTCATTTTCTGGTGGGAAGAAACCAACTAGAAAACTACACCTGGATTTCACACACACTTGGGAACCTCAAGGTGTGCTGACCCTCTCTCTACATCTCAGGCATTAGTGGCAGCTTCCCCAGGCCTTCCTACCAGATTTCATTCCTCCTCCCCATACTTTGCTGAATACCTTCTGTATGACCAGTTTCCCCATTGGGAATGACAGTGAACAGCCAGACAGCACAAAGAAATTTGTAAACCAATTGGACCTTATTCAGAGGTTGCAGCAAAGAGATGTGTGGAAGGAAATAAGAAAAAAAAAATGCATGCAAATTCTTTCTGGAGTGGTCTCAAAGCAGAAAAAAAAATCTCAGCCCTTGGTCAGACCTCTCAATGTGCCAGAATCCCTGTCTCCAGGGCAGTCTTGTCTCTTGGCTGGTAAGGACACTATCTACCACACAGTGTCTCTCCACAATGAATTCAACCCGCTGGTAGCTAGCTTACCAGCTCAACAGCTTAGGCAGCTCCTATATATATCCCAACCAGAGGGATACTCTTGGTTTCTCAGCACTGCTCCATCATCCTGCTGACAACTACTGGAATGAATGCCCTGAGCAGTCCATATTCACAAAGTAAGGGTAGGCAGTTTACTGATTGCCTCCGCATGCCTGTATCAATCTATCACAAGAGGGGGCTCCCAGAGGCAAAGGAGGAGAACTGCACATTTCTCACACATCTGAGACTGAATTTGCCCAAGTCCACCCTTTGGCATCCTGATGGACTTGGAACCTGAGTGGTTCTCCTTGGTGGGACCTTCCATTGGTGGGACCTTCCACTGGTGGGACCTCGTCTGGGACCTCGTCCTCAGTGTATGTGTGGCTTCACAGGGGACTTGTCTTGCTACAGCATCAGAAAACCTCAGGTTGCACAAAAGGAATAATTGGAGGCAAAACACAGTAAATTTGGGTCCACTGTTCAGTGGAAGAAGCCCCCCAAAAAGGGCTGAAATGTCAGGCAGGCCCAGTGTCCAGTCAGTGATGGATGGGAGCTTCAGTTCTACCTTTCACT